AGCAGGACAGTCCACATACACTGCTACTCTGTTAGAGTCAGAGGAGGAGGAGAGACGAGTTTCTATGTTATTGTGAAAGACATAGTAACCAACATCAGAGCAGCTCAGACTCCAGGAATGATCATTCCCTTCAAACCTAGAATCTATACTGTTTCCTTTCCTCTTGATTCTTCTGTAACTCACTGATATCTTAATTCTTCCTGTCCACTCAACCTCCCAGTAACAGCGACCAGTCAGACCAGTTCTACACAGCAGCTGAGGAAGATCAATCTGTCTGGATGATCAGGATATGACTGAAGCTCCTCCACATATGTCACCTTCCTGTTGTCTTCAGACAGTTTGAGGTTTCTGTTCACTGTGTTGTGTCGATGGTGAGTTGACAGGAATCTGATGGAGAGAACAAACACAATCCAGCTGCAGTTATTTATCATTTATTGACACTTTGACTCCTGAATGAGTGATGTGACAGTTTGAAGATGGTTGAATGTGAGCTGCTTTGTTGTCATGAATCAGATGAAAAACACACTTACATTTCCTCAGACCTGGAGTCAAGAATCGGCCTCCAGCAGGCTCCACCCTGAAAGGAGGAGGGGGGTCAGACCATCAGTCTCTTTCAGCAGCAAACATGGACATTACATGTCTCTCAGACACACATTGTCCTCCACTGAGACAGGAACAGTCCAACATCTGGATTGCAAACTGCAGTGGATGTAGGAAGGACAGTTGGTGCTGCTGCAGAACAACTCATTTCTCCAAACACAGGAAAAGCTCCAACAGAGAGGAGAAAGGAAATCCCTCAGTAACAACCTGAAGAAACTCACTGAAGCCTAAAAGGACATCAGGAAACTAAGGAAACATTTCTGGAAGCTCCACTTGATTTAATAATCAGCATTAAAATACAATCAATCTAAACTCTGATCAACACCTGGATACCTGATCCATCCACACTCCCACACACAGATGAAGGAATGAAACACTAAACAGCCCTGCTGCTGAAAACCTGCTGTGGCCTCACTGTAATATCCAGAAATACAAACATTCAAAAGGAGAAGCTGCATCACATTCAACAAAGATTCAACAAGAATCAAGATTTGATCTCTGAGCTCAGACTCACAAACCAGGGAGAGGCTTCCATCATCACACACCTCTGACAAACACCTCCAACCTTTCAGCACTTCCTCTACCAACCAGCACCACCAGGTGGTGCTGCACACATTTACAATGAGCCCAAGAAGAAGAAGAAGCAGCATCCTGAATCCAGCAGCTGCAGTAATGGCTTGACTTTTTATCTTTCTCAGTAAATTTATCAGAACTTTGGATCTGAACAAATTCCTGAGCTCTCGTTTCAACTTTTCCCTCAATCACTGCAATTCCTCCTTCCTTCTGGAAAAAAAGGAATTGCTTTTCTATCCTGACTCCATTTATATATTATAATAATATAATAAATATAAATATATAATATATTTATATTATTATTTTCATACATCTCCACAAGGAGATGTTTGACACAATTTACTTCCTGGTAGAGGTCAAACTACCAAATATTGATCTACTAAAATTCTAAAATTTCTCTATGCCTTGTGAATAGTTAGCTTCACTTTTTCATATATTTTATGAAAATACACACCAACTGCTGAAGTTAAAATCTGTTATAAATGTTATAGTGTCAAACTAAATATTTAATTAGCAAACTAGAGTTAACTTCAAACTAGTTTTTCTAGCAATGTGACTAAAGACTCTTTTAGTCCTCTATCAGACCTTCTCTGCTCCTGCAGCAGGTTCCTCCATACCTGAGAGCTTCCAGTCTCCAGTGTGGATCCTTCAGTCCAGCCGACAGCAGCTTCACTCCTGAGTCTCCTGGATGATTGTAGCTCAGGTCCAACTCTTTCAGATGGGAGGGGTTGGAGGTCAGAGCTGAGGCCAGAGAAGCACAGCCTTCCTCTGAGACCAAACAGCCTGATAAGCTGCAGACACACAATTCATCACATGATGAGAAAATGAGAACATGGAGGTAGAGACCAAGGTCTGAACTCATACTTAATCTGTTAATAAATACTGTGAAAAGTGATAAAACCGTATTTAGTTTTGTAGATAATAAAATAAAAATTTGCGAAATATAGAATAGATGACAACATCTAAGAACTGATGCTTGGAAAGATTTGAAATAATGCACCGGACTGTTACCAGACTGTCAGGTCCCCAGTTACACTATCAGTGGGATCCTGACCTCAACATTTCTAAATACCTCTATTCTTTGTTCTTTTATGTAAGAAGGGATGAAATTAAAACCGGCCATGTTTATGTTTCAAGACTAAGCATGGTTAGCCATGCTTCCAATATTATTATGATCCATTACTGAAATAATATTTACATCATCTCTGATAACAGGTAATGGAAAGATGTCTGGTTTCACCAGGATTGAGAACATTTTACCTGAGAGTTTCCAGGTTGCAGTTTGGACTCTTCAGTCCAGCAGAGAGAAGCTTCACTCCTGAATCCTGCAGGTTGTTGTTACTCAGGTCCAGTTCTCTGAGACTGGAGGACTGGGAGCTGAGAACTGAGGACAGAGCTTCACAGCTTCTCTCTGAGAGGTTACAGACACTCAGTCTGAGGAGACAGGGAGGGAAATTTGATTTTAAAAAGTTAATCAAACTGTATGTTTTTCTTTCTCTTGGAAAGATTTAAGGGAGACTGAAATTTTACACATCTTTACATTTCTCTTTTTGTGTACTGGTTTATTTTAGTTAGGCTTCCAGCTTTGAAGGACTGAACTGGAGGCTTGAAAGAAATATTGAATTCAACAATGAATTAAATGATTCCAGTTTCAGTTGAAGGAGTTTTGCTCCTTGAATATTTAACTAGCTGACACCATTGGGGAGGCAATGCACTGGTGAGTAAACAGAAATATGAATCCATACTTTCCCCACCATTAGCAGATTTTTCTTGATCAAAAAATAAATGCAATAACAATGTGTTTCCTTACAGAGCTTTGTTGGAGGCTTTAACCACTGGCAGCAGCCTCAGAAGAACCTCCTCTGAAGCAGAGTATTTCTTCAGGTCAAACACATCCAGATCTTTTCCTGATGACACTAAGATGAAACCCAGAGCTGACCACTGAGCAGGAGACAGTTTATCTGTGGAGAGACTTCCTGAACTCAGAGACTGTTGGATCTCCTCCACTAGAGAACGATCATTCAGTTCATTCAGACAGTGGAACAGATTGATGCTTTTCTCTGCAGACACATTCTCACTGATCTTCTTCTTGATGTACTGAACTGTTTCCTGATTGGTCTGTGACCTACTTCCTGGCTTTGTCACCAGACCTTGTAGGAGTCTCTGATTGGTCTGCAGTGAAAGTCCCAGGAGGAAACGGAGGAACAAGTCCAGGTGTCCATTTGGACTCTGTAAGGCCTGGTCAACAGCTCTCTGATAGAGAACATTTATATTTGATTGGCTAAAAACTGTAGAGAAAAATGATGGATGATTTTCTTCCATCAGGTTGACACCAGAGTTGATGAATGTCAGATGAACATGAAGAGCAGCCAGAAACTCCTGAACACTCAGATGGACGAAGCAGAACACCTTGTCCTGGTACAGACCTCTCTCCTCTTTAAAGATCTGTGTGAACACTCCTGAGTACACTGAGGCTGCTCTGATATCGATGCCACACTCTGTCAGGTCTGATTCATAGAAGATCAGGTTTCCTTTCTGCAGCTGATCAAAAGCCAGTTTTGCCAGAGACTTGATCATCTTCCTGCTCTCTGGACTCCAGTGTGGATCTGTTTCAGCTCCTCCATCATACTTGACCTTCTTCACTTTGGTCTGAACCACCAGGAAGTGGATGTACATCTCAGTCAGGGTTCTGGGCAGCTCTCCTCCCTCTCTGGTCTCCAACACATCCTCCAGAACTGTAGCAGTGATCCAGCAGAAGACTGGGATGTGGCACATGATGTGGAGGCTTCGTGATGTCTTCATGTGGGAGGTGATCCTGCTGGCCTGTTTCTCATCTCTGAATCTCTTCCTGAAGTACTCCTTCTTCTGAGGGTCATTGAACCCTCTGACCTCTGTCACCATGCCAACACACTGAGGAGGGATCTGATTGGCTGCTGCAGGTCATGTGGTTATCCAGAGGAGAGCAGAGGGAAGCAGTTTCCCCCTGATGAGGTTTGTCAGCAGAACATCCACTGAGGTGGACTCTGTAGCATCAGTCAGGATCTCCTTGTTGTGGAAGTCCAGTGGAAGTCGACTCTCATCCAAGCCATCAAAGATGAACAGAACCTGGAAGTGTTCAAAGCTGCAGATTTCTTTGGTTTCACTAAAGAAATGATGAACAAGTTCCACCAAGCTGAACTTTTTCTCTTTCAGCACATTCAGCTCTCTGAAGGTGAATGGAAATATGAAGTGGATGTTCTGGTGGGCTTTGTCTTCAGCCCAGTCCAGAGTGAACTTCTGTGTTAGGACTGTTTTCCCAATGCCAGCCACTCCCTTTGTCATCACTGTTCTGATTGGTTGATCTCTTCCAGGTGGGACTTTAAAGATGTCTTCTTGTCTGATTGTTGTTTCTGGTCTGTGTGGTTTCCTGGATACTGTTTCAATCTGTCTGACCTCATGTTCATCATTGACCTCTCCAGTCCCTCCCTCTGATGTAGAGCTCTGTGTAGATCTGGTTCAGAAGGGTTGGACTTCCTGCTTTAGCAATCCCCTCAAACACAGACTGGAACTTCTTCTTCAGACCAGATTTAAGATGTTGACAAACTGCACCATAGTGTTCTAATATGTCACAAAAAGTAAAATCAGTAACTAAACAAAATCATTTTCTGAAGCTGATTAGAATAAATGTGACCATGTTTCTTAAGACATTAATAATTATGTAATTTATCCATCTGGTCATATCTTTGTAGAAATCGTCTTACTGCTTTGCAGACGGTCAGCCATCTCCTCCTGTTTCATCATCCTCAAGAAGCTCAGTGTGATCTTCATCAGTGCCTGTCTAATGCTATTCCTCTGCTCTTCATCCTCACATTCTGACACATCATCAACTTTTCTTGGGCTCTCTGAGCATTCTGGGTCATCTGGACTTAGAACCTTATGGATCTGCTTCAGCTCATCCTTCACAAAAGTGATGATCTTGTTTTCTAGCGACTGGAATGAAATAATAGATGAACGACACATCATGCAAGGATTGTGTTTATGGAATATTTTCTGTATTTGACCAGATTTCTTTTAAATGAAGGAAAAATTCTAAGCCCATGCATCAGTGTGACAGGTTACAATTCACGCCGTTGGCTGATGCACAGACATTATAAACTTTTTGCACCAAATACATTATAGGAATCTAAATTCAATCAATTAAAACAATCCTTTTTGAATATCTCATGGACTGAACTAAATGAATCTTGGCACCTGGGAGATTACTGCACATTGAAGAATTATGGACAGGATGCTTTGGAGATTCAGTTAATTCCAACCTTTGGTTGAAATATCATTTTTATTTCCAATCTCTAATTCATAGAATAGAGAAAACTAAAGCAAATGCCATCATGTAATACTGGATTTATAGTCGAAACAGGTGAGCTGACAGTTTGTCTTGAGGAAATTTTAGGTTAATCCAAGTATAAAAATTTCAGTGAGTTCTTTATTATATAATTAATGGGCACGAAGTTCAGCCACTGCTGATATGTGAACTTAAAACACCATGCAGTTTTAACAAATGGCCCTCCAGTGATCTTTGTGTAAGGCTCAGGAGGAGTGCAGCAGATTTCACAGTTGTACTCTGTCAGTTTCGGAGAAGAAAACCACAGAAAAATATCTTAGTAAAAGCATGCACCCTGACTATGCACAGGATTAAAAGAGCTTGTGTGGTTCAAAAAATCCTGGCTCTCAAGACAGCAGGAGGATGAAAAAAGATAAAAGAGAAGTTGCACTACTTACTCAAATGGTAGACCAAATAAAGTATAATATACTTTGTTTAATTGAGTCTCAGGCCTCAAATGAAAGGTAACATGGTTGGTTCAGAGAGATCCCACTGGCTAACTTACCAGCACAGACTTATCTGTAGATGCAGACCAGGAACACAGTTGTGAGGAACTGTGTGTTCAGACCTTCACTGGGTGAAGTGCTTGTAATTTATATGCAGTTGCTTATTTCTTTTTACTCTACGTCATTGGGGCAACAGTAAGTGATTCTTGTCCCTGCAGAGGAAAAGTTTGATGCATTCATCTGCTGTATGTGATGAGATCTCGATTCACAGTTCAATAGTTGAATATTAACTAATCCACAAAAAAATTGCGTCTGTGTAACCTATGTCAAGATCAATTATAATTTGATGGGTAAAAATAGAATGTTACAGGGTTTCTTTTGATTCTGTAAGTCAAACTGACAAACTGCAAGAAAGTCTAGCGCTACCTTTGCATCACACTGAAAACATGGAGCCAAACACCAGATAGATATTGGACAGACTGACAGTCCTCTTATCCACAAAGTGCAGCATGAAGATGACTGTGAACAGAAAAGTAGTTGTTGTACATCTACACACCGTAAATATGGAGTCCAGATGTATTCGATCATGCTGGTCATATGGACCACTGGGAACCTCTGAGAACTGCTGGTCCACTCTGTGGTGGAACAAGGAACAATTAGGAAGTCAGAAAATATGCATCCAGCAGTTTACACAGAGGAAATCATGAAGAATTTCACATTAAAAGTCCTTAAAGCAGAAAAGCAAATAATTGTATGAACTCATTACAAAGAAGTTAGAAAGAGAAAGATGAACAATAAGGATGAGGACCGTTAACACCAGAATTACCCAGGAGACATTTTAAAAAGTTGGTGCTGAACTTGGACTCAAACAGTCCAAACTGTCATCAGATCTGATGCTGATGGAGACAGTTTCCCAGAGCTTGGGGACAGTGGAAGTGAAGGCTCTGTCCACACAGGTCTTCAGGACAGTGTGGGACATCCATCAGGTTCTGATGACTAGATCTGAGGTGATGTGGACATGGAGGAGGTCTGAAATATGTGGGTGTGTCCATGTGGGATCCTCTCCTGGATGTTATAGTGAGGATTTTAAAATGGATCCTGTAGATCCCTGGAATCCAGTGAGCGCACATTGTATCTGTCCACATAGACAATCAAAAGTGTGGACAGATATAATGTTCAGACATTATATCACTCCAAATATCACCATGAAGTGATATCTGGATGTGAGCAGAGAACCAGGTTTAATGTTCCTGCTGATCCCATTAAGAACCAGCAGAACCTCTGATGGTCCACATCAGCTCAGTTTGGTTGAGTTCCAGCAGATCTCACCAACCACATCATGAAGCTTTCCTTCCCTGCTGAACTGCTCTCACAATGCACACAGGATCCAAGTCCTGATGGACCAGAATGGCTTTACCAGGTATTTCCCAGTGGGTTATGAAAATATGTTCCACTGTAAAGCCCTATTGCACTGCACAGCTAAACCAGGGTTGACCCATGTCGGCCTGGCTTCAAAGTAGGTCCGAGCGTTTTTGCATTAGAACGTCCAACCTGGTCCCACCCAGCTCCTTAGAACCACAAGAGCTTTGGTTCTAATTGGGCCGGGCAAGTGGGGCTGCTTTAGATTCAGTAGCTGATTGGTTTGGAGTCAGCCGTTCATTGGTTCTAGCTGGCTCTCACTAAACTTTTCTTACTGCATTATGTAAAGAGTGCTCTTTTTAGTATCTTATTATTATTGGATTCCTCCCAATATTCTGCTGTTACCTGGTCTCATGGTGAGGTAATTTTCCTCAGCTTAGATGGTGATGAAAAAGTACGGAATGAGCTAGATGTGTCAACGGGGAATAAGAAAGTTTTCCACCGCATCTATGAGGAAATGGCTTCGGCCAGCTACATCAGAAGTTCCAAACAGTGTAGAGAGAAGTTGAATAAGCTGAATTTTGATTACCGGGCAATTAAGGACAACAACTGTTGGAGTGGAACAGGTTGGAAAGACTGGCGGTGGTACAATAAGATGGAAGCCGTCTATGGACGTCAGTTGTCAAGTAGCGGCAGGGAAAGTTCCCTCGATTTGGCTACCATCTTATTGGAGAACATGATTGATGGTAAGTTTTATGTACAGTGTAAGTCACCATTGTACATTTCACTTTGAGCCAATTAGCTATAAAAGCTTATTTGTAATGTTATGCTTGCAAAACAGGTTGTAAGGCTGTGGTGTGTATAGTCTTGTCTGTTGCTTCATAACTAGCAGAATAGGCTATGGTGAATATCAAGCTGAAGTTTTTTTTTTCCTGTTCTTTTTAGAAAGTTTACATTAGGATTTGGATTCCCAGGACCCGCTGACATTCCAGGTTCATCAATGTCACCACCATCATCCCCTCCGAGATCTTCACCAAGATCTCCCTCAGTGTTCACGGCTTCCACTTCTTCCAGCTCGACAGACCAGTGTGAACATGGTGCAATGGGTACGACACTCGTTCTTTCTTGGTATCGATTTATTGATTTATTTATTTCATAAAGATGTTTTTGTGTAATATAACAGTTTTACTCTTCTCATTTATTTCAGATCCTCATCACAAATGCTCAGCCAACACGGATTTACTTCTGGCCATAAGAGAAGAGAAAAGGAAATTGGGCAAAGCATGACCGCCATGTAAACATACTGCCAGAGGACATACGTTAAGCTTGCAGGTTGGAGAACGCCTTCTGCCTGGAAGAACTGGATGCAAGGAATCAAGAAGTGGCCAAAAACGCAGTTGTTGCTTTATCGTTGGCAAAATTAATTGAATTTATAACTGCTAATATGAGAAAACCACGTATGTAATAAATTTCAGTTTTTCTAAACTGATAGCATCTTCATAGTAGTAAGTAGCCGTTTTCTTCTTCTTCAGTACATTGCCAGTTGGAAAATAACTAAAGAAAGCATTACCCCCACCAACTGGGGGTAATAAACAATTGTGGACCCCATTGTTTAGTGTAAAAACTGTCGTCAGGTACAGCTTCGATACCATGCTCAAATATATGCAAACACAACAGGGCTGCAGTACAGGTGGGACAGGACCGAAGCATGGCTGGGCCTAACCCTAAAAAAGGGGCTTTAGTCTGACATGGAGCCAGGAAGCAGCAAAACATCATCAACACCCAGAAATGAAGATATGTAGGTGTTTTCATTAGAACAGAGGATCTGATTTGGTAGATAATGGATAAACCTCACTTTGTGAATATAACTGGGCATATCTGAGTGCTTACTGTTTCAGTTCCAAAGATACAGAAGTCAGATGCAGCTCACCTCTCCAATGATGGAGGTCCACAAGATTTAACCCAACGACGCATTGGACTGTTTCTCTTAAAGGGTTTCTGGTTCTGGCTTGACTCTTTGATGGATCCTGATAGAAAAACTCTCATTAAAAACTTTCTGTGTGGTTATGCTTTAAAGATTGTTTTCCAATGTGGCTCATCTGTTGATGATCTGTCTGGCTAACAGAGCCAGACAGATCATCAACTTGATGATCTAAATGATCAGAACCGGTCCAATCCTCCAACATGTTCCTGATCATTGATCCTCCTGAATAATGTCCAGCCTTAAAGAGCAGAATATTTTTTTCTGAGACCAACATGTTGGTTTAAATGACTGAGAGAACAGTTTGGTGATCTTAGTGTTGAGTTCTGACATGGAGCAGAACCAGGAATCATTCCACTCTGACCATCCAAGGAGGATCTGATGGAGCTTCAATCAGAACCAGATGGTCAGACACAAAGCTCACCGAAGAATGAGATCTACATGAGATATTATTTAGTTTAACTGTAGAAATGACTGATAATCTGCCAAATTAGATGATGTTTAAAAGTAGAGATGAAACTGGAAAAGTGATTTTTGTTGCCCGCTATGTTGTGCAGGAGAAAATATGATTGTTTTTTCCTATGGTTTATTGTTTTTCTGCTTTGCATGTACAGATTGTTTTTGGGTTCGTTGCTTTTCTTTTTTCCTTTTTTCCCCTTTAACAATCCAAATGCACTGGACTGAAAGTGGTTGTCTAGGAAGGCAGAGCGCACCAATTGGCCACCTGAACAGGTGTCAGCAGATGCTGATTAGAGCCAAAATAAAAGGAACCTGGATGGGAAGAGTGCAGAGTGCAGCCTGGAGCCTGCGGAAACTTGCACACTGCGGAGCAAGGGGCAGATGGAACCCGCTCATCCGGCGCAGAATACCGGGAGTTGAACAGACGGCCAGTACAGAGGATCAGGGCAGAGAACCTCTTCCCATGCCTGTAAGTAGCTTTCCATTCCGATTGTAGAGTATCGGCAGGAAATACGTCTCAACCTTGGTTGAGTTTAACTCACTGACTCTTCTGGAATCTCCAGCATCAGCGAACCTTAACTGGAGAGTTGAAAATCTCCAATGGTATCAAAGAAGCTGCATGACACCATTAGCATATCAATAGCAAGCAGAGGCATTTTATGTGGCTGTGGGAGACGTTAATCACATAAAACTGATGGATTCTCTGCCAAGTTTTTACCAGGATGTCACTGTTCCTACTCAGTGTCTTCCCTTCAGACTGCATGAACTCTGCAACTGTAACTAATTCAGCTACATCTCATAAATTAGTGAAATATGACTTTTTAAGTTATATATATATTTAACTACTTTAATAGTTATTTATTTTTTATTTGTGTATTAAATTTCTTAATATGGGTCCTGAGATCAAATTTCTTACCACAAACAAGCAAATGTGGTATGACAATAAGAACTTCTTCAAACCTAGCATTCCCTTCCCAACAGAACTTATCATCACATGGCCACAATAACAGATATAAACAGAAGTTACAGCAGTTAGAAACAGCTCACCTCTCTGATGGTGGAGATCCAGGATATTTAAAGTCAGTGAGAATATCCTTTGACTTGTCGCTCTTAAAGGACACACAGCTGGGTTCTGGTTCTGGTTCTGGTTTGAGTCTCTGATGCAACCTGACAGAAACATGATGATTAAAACTTAATCAGCAAGAGGAGCAGCAGCAGCTTCATCACCACGTCTGTTCTGGCCTGATATAGTGAACGCTGTGTGAAAAGGGCTGTGGACAGTTAGAGATGGTGACCTCACCTCTGACCTTTGCTCTGGCTCTCATCTTCCCCACACAGAGTGGTTTTAGAGGGAGGGACTCCCTCCTCTCTGTCCTCACACTGATCCATGCTGCTGAATCCACATCAGCTCACACACACTTTCTAGCTTCACCTGCAGAGGAAACACACATCATTCATCTGCACATCAACTCTGATCATCCTTTACATCATTAGTGCTGGAAAAAGATCAGCTGCTCCTCCTCTGATTGGCTCTTCTTCTCTGCTTCATATCAGTGTCAGGTGAATGCAGTCAGACAGCAGAGAGGCAGAGGAAGCTGCCATCAGCTGCTGCACTTCTACTATCAGTCCACTAGATGGAGACATGGAGCAACATTTACATTCACTGATTCAACCTGAACAACAGGAAGTATTTTAATTAGTTAATTATTAAACTCTACAAGTGGATTATTTTCTGCATAAAAGTATTATAATCACTTGAACACATTTCAACAATAATATTTAGTAAAAATAATACATAATATTCATTTATTTTGAAAGGATGCAACAAGAAACTTTTGTTCCTGACTAAACAGTTTTACTCATGGAGGTAAAAACATGAAGCAAAAGAAAACATAGAAACACCAGCTGCTCATCATGTTGTTTGATTCTTGTTCATTAGTAATCAAATAGTGTAAATTAACCTTCAAACAGAAGAGAGATCAAACTGAGTGGAAGTCAGAAGTGATGCTTCTTCTCCAAACATCAGAAACATATAAAAAGGTTCCAGACAAAGTTCAAGTAGGAAACCAAGCAAACTTACAGTTTCTTCATACGGTTCAAAAAGTTGAAGAGTGTCTGAACAACAAACTGAGACCTAATAGAGCCTCGGTAGACTCAGACTAATGCCACACCTGTACAGAGACAACAGATCTGGACTTTTACCTTACCTGAACAACTCAAAGTTCAAACTCAATGTGTGAAAAATGTTGCATAAGTGATTATTTGACGGCACACCTGGTTTGTAGTGTCTTCTTTCTGAGCAGCAGAAGGTTTGCTGTAAAATCAGAGGCAGGTTGATAAAATCTCCATGATGAAATGAGCCCAGAGAAAAGAAAAGCTGGTTTCCTTATTTTGCTGTATCAATCAATCAATCAAATTTTATTTGTATAGCACATTTCAGCTACAAGGCATTTCAAAGTGCTTACATCATAAACACAAAACACAAAGGCATGCAACATAGAATAAAATACCAAGGTTTTTTTTTTTCCTTCCCTTTGTCACGGAATTTAAGCGCCTGTTACCGCCGGACTCCGCCGTCCGTTTAACCACGGGTATTCGCCGGGCCCCGTTGCCCACAACAGGAAAAAAAGATTACATACATATCCACAAAATCAAATCCATACATATTACATTTCAAATACAATTCTAAACAGGTGCGTTTTTACTTGAGATTTGAAGGAAGTCAGGGTTTCCGCTGTTTTACAGTTCTGGAAGTTTGTTCCAAATATTTGGTCCATAGATGCTGAAAGCTGTTTCTCCTCTTTTGGTTCTGGTTCTGGGGATGCAGAGCAGACCAGAACCAGAAGACCTGAGAGGTCTGGAAGGTTGATACAACAACAGCAGATCTTTGATGTATTGTGGTGCTAAACCGTTCATTGATTTGTAAACTAACAACAGTATTTTAAAATCTATTCTCTGAGCTACAGGGAGCCAGTGGAGGGACTTTAAAACTGGTTATGTCTCTATCTTCCTGGTTCTAGTGAGAACGCGAGCAGCAGCATTCTGGATCAGTTGCAGCTGTTTGATTGATTTGTTGGACAGGCCTGTGAAGACGCTGTTACAATAATCAATGTGACTAAAGATAAACGCATGAATGAGTTTCTCTAGATCTGGCTGAGACATTAGTCCTCTAATCCTGGAGATGTTCTTCAGGTGATAGAAGGCCGATTTTGTTACTGTCTTTATGTGGCTCTGGATGTTCAAGTCCGAGTCCATCACTACTCCCAGGTTTCGGGCCTGATCGCTAGTTTTTAGTTGTAATAACTGAAGCTGTGCATTGACTCTAGATCGTTCCTCTTTAGGTCCAAAAATAATGACTTCAGTTTTATTTTTGTTCAGTTGGAGAAAGTTTTGGCACATCCACACATTTATCTGTTCTAAACATTTATTCAGTGATTGGATGGGTTCAGAGTCACCTGGTGACATCGTAATGTAGAGCTGAGTATCATCTGCATAGTTATTGTAGCTAATATTATTTCCTGTTATGACCTGAGCTAGTGGGAGAATATAAATATTAAATAAGAGGGGTCCTAAGATTGAATCTTGGGGTACCCCACATGTGACCTTTGACCTCTTGATAAGTTGTTTCCAATTGAAACAAAGAAATTCCTGTCTTTATGTAGGATTCAAACCAGTCGAGCACCGAACCAGAGAGTCCAACCCAACTTTCAAGTCGATTCAGTAATATGTCATGGTCGACAGTGTCAAAAGCTGCACTGAGGTCCAACAGAACCAGCACCGTGGTTCTCCCACAGTCAGTATTTATATGGATATCACTGAATACTTTTACGAGGGCAGTCTCCGTGCTGTGGTGAGCACGAAAACCAGACTGGAAAGTGTCAAAGCAGTTGGTCATCATGAGGAAACTATTTAATTGTTACACACAGTTTTTTCAATAACTTTGCTGATGAATGGGAGGTTTGAGATTGGCCTGTAATTCTGCAATAACGATTTGTCCAGATTGTTCTTTTTAACAGTGGTTTGATGACTGCTGTTTTCAAAGCCTGGGGGAAACACCTGATGTAAGCGATGAGTTACGATTTGGATCAGATCAGTAGCAATAACAGGCAGGACTTTCTTAAAGAAATGTTCTAGAGTTATAGATCTATAACATCCAGACTGCAGGAGCTTGAACTTAATTGACTTATAATTTCTTCTAGAGTTTATAATTAAGTAGTTGAAAATGGTCATTTTTCTGTATTTGTTTTGTTTTGGTACAGCAATGGTTCTGGCTTTGAAGTTGATGTGCAGATTAATCCTCTGATTTTTTGGATTTTCTCTGAAAAGAAATCAGAAAACTTGTTACAGGCAACATTAGATTGGAGTTCAGGTGGAAACGTCACAGGAGGGTTTGTGAGCCTGTCAACTGTTGCAAATAAAGTTCGAGCATTGTTGATGTTTTTGTTTATGACATGCAAAGAAAGCCTCCCTTCCATGTTTTAGTGTTAAGTGATAGTTACGTAGTTTTTCTTTATAGATGTCGTGATGAACGTGA